GGCAAGGTACAGATAGTTCAGCCTCCTCACCTTCACTTTCCTTGTGATTTAGGTTCGGCGGGGCTTCTACTACGGCCTCACTCTCATCATCCAGTCGAGTCATAAAAGAATCCTCAAGATCCACCTCCCACTCCTTTACTGAAGGGGTCCTGGTCTTGGGATCAGCAACCTTAGTGAAGACAGGATTACTCTCACCTGTTTTTCCCATTGATCTAGTAACAACACAAGCAGGGTAAATAATATCATCATCTGCTTCCGGTTGAGCTAATACATTATGGGGTTTAGTTAACATGATGGGACACTTTGGCCCTACAACCATTTGGTTGCCAAAATCATTACCTAGAATAATGTCTACCCCAGGAATGGGCAGTTGTTTACTTACACCAACATTACACCATCCTGAAGTATATTTAGAATCAAGGTTAACTTGCAATAAGGACACTGGTTGTACACTACCGGCAATACCCTGGAGAAGCACAACTTCACCCAGATCTCGGGTGTCAACATCATCAAGTACCTTCTGGGTAATAAGAGACTGTGAAGCTCCAGTATCACGGAGTAATTGAACAGTCTTATGTCTACCATTAGTACATAATAAGGTACCTGTGGAAATATAGGGTTTGAATTCAGCCATCCAATTGGGACTGACTGTAATACATGAAGAATTAATAGGTTGCACTCCTTTACTCATAATAAGACCAGTTGGTCGGAGTTCAGGATGCAAACTAAAACATGAAGAAATCACATGCCCCCTTCTCTTACAATGGGTACAATGTTTGACAGTGGACACACTGGTATAACCAACTGCCGGTTTAGAATTAGCATTACTAGGCTTAGATGATCCTGGCAATGGAGTAACCATCTTAGGGTTAGTAAGAGAAGAGTTCACGGGAGTAACTGTCGCACCAGGAGGAGACTTATACTGATAAGGAGTACGGTGAGCATTGAAATTTACTCTACGACTAGACTTAGGTGAAGTGGCCATAAACGGGGCCTTAGTCAGCAACTCATGCTCATCCGCGAGCTTTGACAGCTCATCAATATCGGTTACATTCTTTTGTTCTGCCATAAAAGTAGACAACTGGTCTGGAAGACAGGACAATACTTCTTCCATTATGAGAAGATTCTTTAGAGCATCAAAATCAGTGACTGCAAGTGACTTTAACCATCTGTTGCAAAAATTCGTCTTCTGACGAGTAAAATCGGCTATTGTCTGATCCTTGATTCTCCTTAGGTTCCTGAACTTTTGCCTGTGTGCCTCTGGATTTAGCTGATATGCATTGAGGATGCTTTTCTTTACAAAGTCATAATCAAAACTATGAGCGTCAGGGAGGGATGTGAAAACCTCCTGACTACGCCCCTTGAATTGAGACTGCATAATGGCTACCCACTGATCCCTTGGCCAGTTCATACTGATGGCAATTTTATTAAAATGTGCAAAGAAAACCTCAGGATCTTCCTCATTGAACTTGGGCAACTCTATATACTTATTCATCCTGATGGGATTATTATCACTATTTGTTGAAACATTACTAGTATTTCCATGCCCAGCTGCCATACGCTGTGATTCAAGCCTGAAGTTAGTGTCCGCCATTTGTTGTTGAATCTCTAATTGCCTAGTTTGTTCCTCGGCTTGTTGCTTCTTTGTGGCTTCAAGTTGCAACTCAATTAAACCTCTCTGGTTTTGTGCCGCAATTTCTAAACGCCTAGTCTCCAGCTCCCTTTTCTGAGCTTCAGCCTCTAATATTTTCTGTTCTTTTTGAGCTTCAAGCTCTAATTGGCGAGCTTCTAACTCAAGACGCTTTAACGTCATCTGATCACTCGACTCCTCTCTTAACTCCTCTAGAATTTCTTCATCTAAATCCCCATTCTCAACAAAATGCGTCACAATGACTTTCAATATTTGGGCTTTAACCATTCTATTGCTGGCGGTCAAATCCAAATGATTTGCCATTTGTATTAACTCAGTCTTTTTAAGGTTCTGAATCCCTTCAAAGTCTGGGTGAGCCACCAACGCTGCAACTTTCTCCTCCATCGTTACTAACACTTGGCACTTGATTCACAAAATTAATTAACACAATGGCACTGCACTACACTTCACTGTAAAATTGTCACCACACTGAAAATTCGCTTGGCCTCACTGCACAAACAAAATATATAGGATGACTTACCTCAAAATCGTGAAACGTTGTTACTTGACACACAGGAAGGCTTGCTTGGCACATGGAATAGTTCTTAAGAAACACACAGAGACACTTGACACTGGTACCTAGGAAGGCAAGGTTAGATTAGCATAGTTAAGTTAAGTGGGACAATATTTCCCGGCACAGGCCCCCATAACTCTTTGTTACCTATCGTACGTTACGGCTCGTGATCCTACAGCAGCCAAACTTTAATAAGTCTAGGGATACGACACAACTGCTGTTCTCAATAGCGAATCACCAGTATAACCCCTTAATGGGTAATGAGCATAAAATAGAATCTTCATAGGACTGAAGAATAAAGACTAAGCATATATATAATTTATATTAAATAAATCTCAAAGGCAAACAGATGATTATATGGTCACAATATATATCACATTAAAAATATCACTGTAACTTCCAGACATTAAATCAATACTAAGAATAATTATATGGCTAGAACAAAAGAATGACTTAACTCCAAGATGATATCTCCCTGGTTTCTGCTCAGCTACTGAACTACAATATGAGAGTCAAAAAACACATTGCCTTGCCCCGCGAATAAATTGCCAAAGTTACAATATTTATTATTTCAACAATGGAGCACTACATTGTGACAAGAGTAATCTTAAACTAACTTAATGAATAATTAGTACATATTGATATAGACAAACAAAGCAATTGTTTCTTTACATAGTAATTAAAATATGCATACAGAATAGCATAATGGCATGCACACCCCAGCAACGGACGATCCCACGACAATTTGCCAGATACAGTTCACTCAATTATTATTTCACTCTGTTACCCACTTATGATCACATATAAATCATTAGTTCCCGTGGGAAAACTGATCACACAAAGAAATAAACAATCATTCCCACGATACGCTGGGCCTAACGCCAACACTGTAACATGAATGTGCATTTGCATAGAACATATAAGTATAACAATATACATGCTTGTAATTTACATACAATTATAAATGTACATATTAATATATTCACTTACGTATCTTATAAGGGTACGTAACAGTTTGAGGGGGCAGTGTGGGTTTTTTTCTCACGGTAATGGATTTGCTCTGAGGGCGGGCTCTTCAACGCTATTTACAGCTGTATATATATAGGTACAATGGAGTGAGCTTATACATCATAGGACCACGTAAGGGGTCCTCGGCCACACCCACTCCAGGAGTAATATAACTATTGCTTAACATAATAAAGAAATTGAATTGCTTATCGCTGTTATTTGGTCAGATTCGCCTGTTCGATAATCATTCTTATTATCTTTATTCTGTTGTACAGTTTTAATGTTTGAATCGTTAAGAGAGAAAATGGTATGGTTTGACAAATTGGATATATATTATTGCTAATTGATTGATTGACAGTTGAGAGGCGGGCCGAAAGAGCAAAGCTCAACCCCGCAAGCACAACTAGGTGAATACCCCCCCCCCCCCCAGCAGGGATCACTCGTCAATACCAAGACGTCCAACTTGGTATCAATCCCTCGTTCCTTCTGTTGACGCGGAGGACGCCAGTTCTCCCCACCGCCGCTCCTGGTCTGTGGCGCTGCCTCCCACGTAAACAACATCGTCGCCTCACTCTCCTCACAGACACTGTTCAGTGCAGTTCTCCCGCCATAAAATTCATTCGTCTTCTCTTCCTTTCAAAGTATAATTCAGTTTAATAGTTTTTTTTACGATTGATTTAAGTTAAAGATGTGAATGATTTAGCAATAAGTGTAATGAGAGTAATAAGATGTTAGGGAAGAGATATCTGCTAGATATCATACAGGTGTCACAGTATTCTCGCCTAAGATGTTAGGGAAGAGATATCTGCTAGATATCATACAGGTGTCACAGTATTCTCGCCTAAGATGTTAGGGAAGAGATATCTGCTAGATATCATACAGGTGTCACAGTATTCTCGCCTAAGATGTTAGGGAAGAGATATCTGCTAGATATCATACAGGTGTCACAGTATTCTCGCCTAAGATGTTAGGGAAGAGATATCTGCTAGATATCATACAGGTGTCACAGTATTCTCGCCTAAGATGTTAGGGAAGAGATATCTGCTAGATATCATACAGGTGTCACAGTATTCTCGCCTAAGATGTTAGGGAAGAGATATCTGCTAGATATCATACAGGTGTCACAGTATTCTCGCCTAAGATGTTAGGGAAGAGATATCTGCTAGATATCATACAGGTGTCATAGTATTCTCGCCTAAGATGTTAGGGAAGACATATCTGCTAGATATCATACAGGTGTCACAGTATTCTCGCCTAATATATATCACATTTCTTACGAAATCGACCAATCCATTAAAATACGACATCTTAGAAGAATTCAAGTTTAGTATTGTTGATATTTTCTATCTCCATCTGCCCCGAGAGGTTAGGTTAGGGTGTTTGGGGTCGAACCTTCAGGTATAAACAGTCTTTGTTTTTTACGGAGTTGCAAGCCGAGAGAGAACTGGACTGTTGATTGGTTGTTAGAGGGAGTTGTTACATCACTCAGCTGTCAGGGGCCTGACGGCTGAGTGGACAGCGCTCGGGATTCGTAGTCCTGAGGTTCCAGGTTCGATTCCCGGGTGGAGGCGGAAACAAATGGGCAGTTTTTTGATGATCCTGTTCACCAAGCAGTAAATAGGTACCTGGGAGTTAGACAACTGCTACGGGCTGCTTCCTGGGGTGGAAGGGGGTGTAACAAAAAAGGAGGCCTGGTCGAGGACCGGGCCGCGGGGACGCTAAGCCCCGAAATCATCTCAAGATAACCTCAAGATATTACCCGTCATCATATCCCCAGCTCCCCGTTCTTCAGCTGAGAATCCGACTGCTGAAACACAACGTTCGTGGAGGTGGACGGGGCGAGAGACGGGAGGTGGACGGGGCGAGACGGGAGGTGGACGGGGCGAGACGGGAGGTGGACGGGGCGAGACGGGAGGTGGACGGGGCGAGACGGGAGGTGGACGGGGCGAGACGGGAGGTGGACGGGGCGAGACGGGAGGTGGACGGGGCGAGACGGGAGGTGGACGGGGCGAGACGGGAGGTGGACGGGGCGAGACGGGGCGAGACGGGAGGTGGACGGGGCGAGACGGGGCGAGACGGGAGGTGGACGGGGCGAGACGGGAGGTGGACGGGGCGAGACGGGAGGTGGACGGGGCGAGACGGGAGGTGGACGGGGCGAGACGGGAGGTGGACGGGGCGAGACGGGGCGAGACGGGAGGTGGACGGGGCGAGACGGGAGGTGGACGGGGCGAGACGGGAGGTGGACGGGGCGAGACGGGAGGTGGACGGGGCGAGACGGGAGGTGGACGGGGCGAGACGGGAGGTGGACGGGGCGAGACGGGGCGAGACGGGAGGTGGACGGGGCGAGACGGGAGGTGGACGGGGCGAGACGGGAGGTGGACAGGCGAGACGGGAGGTGGACGGGGCGAGACGGGAGGTGGACGGGGCGAGACGGGAGGTGGACGGGGCGAGACGGGGCGAGACGGGAGGTGAACGGGGCGAGACGGGGCGAGACGGGAGGTGGACGGGGCGAGACGGGAGGTGGACGGGGCGAGACGGGAGGTGGACGGGGCGAGACGGGGCGAGACGGGAGGTGGACGGGGCGAGACGGGGCGAGACGGGAGGTGGACGGGGCGAGACGGGAGGTGGACGGGGCGAGACGGGAGGTGGACGGGGCGAGACGGGAGGTGGACGGGGCGAGACGGGAGGTGGACGGGGCGAGACGGGAGGTGGACGGGGCGAGACGGGGCGAGACGGGAGGTGGACGGGGCGAGACGGGAGGTGGACGGGGCGAGACGGGAGGTGGACGGGGCGAGACGGGAGGTGGACGGGGCGAGACGGGAGGTGGACGGGCGAGACGGGAGGTGGACGGGGCGAGACGGGAGGTGGACGGGGCGAGACGGGAGGTGGACGGGGCGAGACGGGGCGAGACGGGAGGTGGACGGGGCGAGACGGGAGATGGACGGGGCGAGACGGGAGGTGGACGGGGCGAGACGGGAGGTGGACGGGGCGAGACGGGAGGTGGACGGGGCGAGACGGGGCGAGACGGGAGGTGGACGGGGCGAGACGGGAGATGGACGGGGCGAGACGGGAGGTGGACGGGGCGAGACGGGAGGTGGACAGGAAGGTCTCTGGGACGTTGTCACCAACACTGCTAGGTATTGACATCTTCACCCCCCCCCCCCCACCACCAGGAGGTGGGACCTCCACGTCTTTCGAGGGAGAATGGAAGACCCCCAACTCCAGGTGGGGGGGGGGAGGGAGGTTGACCCAACTCTCGGGGGTGGGGGGAGGGGAAAGCCCCCTCCCCCACCCCCAACTCCTGCTGGTGGAGGTGAAGTGTTGGAGTGTGGCGGGGTGGGGGTGGTGTTGGGGGGTTTTTGTTGTAGGTGGGTGGGGGGGGGTGGCTACTAGTGTGAGCCCCTCCCCCCAATTCCCAGTCCCCCCCCCCACCCTATCACCCCAACCCCCTCATCACTACAAAAATATTCCCTTATGATCCATTCTTAATAATTAAGTAAAATTAACCCGTCAAGAGTTTTCGAAGTGACCAAAAGTATGATCTTGAGAATGATAACTTGCATGACGTCACAAGTTCGTCTTAGCTGCAGCGTTCGTGTAACGTCATCGATGCTTCCGGTGTTCTTGAATCCGCCTTGATGTAAACACGAGGTTTTCTCTCTCTCTCTCTGTGGCAGCTTCTACGTTTGTAGGCTCATGAGTGGTCACGTGGGCTTGTGATCAACTATGGTGGGTGACCTGACCTCTAATCTCCCCTGCACTGCCCGGGGGGGGTGGAAGTTGCCAGCAAGTAGCTCCCAAACAGTTCGTCTACTTGGCCACAGAATGAATAAATATGACATTTACTCACTGTAATGTTGGTACTGAATGTAGAACATTAAATTACATATTTTTACTCTGAAATAAGATAATTTTTTAAAGTAATGAGACGAAATTCAGTGGCAGATAATGCCATAGGAAGTCGACGATCCAAGCGACAATGTTGTGCTACGCTTGGATCGTCGACTGACTATGGCGTCACCATCCACTGAATTACGTCACATTTCGCTATAAAATTATATTATTTCAGAGTAAAAATGTGTGTTCTCATGTTCTACATTCAGCTCCAACATTATAGTGAGTAAATATGTCATATTTCTTCATTACTTACGTAATGCTATGAGGCTTCGGGTAATTAGACGGACTCTCCCAAGATGGCCGCTGCCTAGTGGTCGCTTATAAAGGGGAAATGCATCGCTTCCTCTCTTTGTGCCGACTAAACCTATGATGGCCCTCGAAGCAAAATTATTCGGCTCATAAAATGGGCTCTCATTAGAGACCAAACAAGCTAGGTTTTGTCCAGTAATAGGCTTCGTGAAGAACTTTCCCCTGCATTGTGGGCACATAAGTGGTTATTTCTCTACTTGCATGAATAAGTGGAAGCTCTGCCACTTGCCACTGGAAATCAGTGACGGGAACTGTGAGACCACTCAGGTCTCTCGGGTCACACCACTTAACTGTCAACTGACCTGTAATAACTGAGTTTCAACTGGTGTACATAGTGAACAACACACACAGATCACAATAACGTGATGCATCAAATGAACAAATTCACAAGGGCCGTGGCGAGGATTCGAACCTGCGTCCGGGAGCATCCCAGACACTGCCTTAATCGACTGAGCTACGAGAGGCTACAAGATCCAGTAAGTTCAGTAGAACTTCGGTTTCAACCCTTTTAACCCTGTCGTAGCTCAGTTGATTAAGGCAGTGTCTGGGATGCTCCCGGACGCAGGTTCGAATCCTCGTCACGGCCCTTGTGGATTTGTTCATAGTGAACAAATTCTTTGTCTCTTTGGCCACTTAGTTTCTACCAGTGTCCCTTGGTTCGTTTGCCACCTATGTCAGACTGCCCTTGTCTGTCCTATGTATTGACTTGAGTATTTTGTATATAGTGATTATGTTACCATATTTCTTCTCTTCCGGCATTGTGAAGTGTAATTACTGTTGCATTTCCTCATAACTCATAATCTCTCAGCTTATATTTGCAGTGCTCCTGCTTCCAGTGATTTATTATAATCGTCGCGGCCGGCTGAGGGCTTTAGCTGCCTCTCTCAGCATCCATGATGAGTGAGATCAGGTCTGCTCTCGCAGCAAGCTCCTTCAATGCTGCTCGGTTTCGCTCTCTCTCTTTGCCAGTTCAGAAACTTTCCCTTGATCTATTGTTTCTTCTAAATATCTTCTGTTTCGACACTTGTTCCTTTATTCGTCTTGTTCTTTTTTTTTTTTTTTTTTTTTGAGATATATACAAGAGTTGTTACATTCTTGTACAGCCACTAGTACGCGTAGCGTTTCGGGCAGGTCCTTAATCCTATGGTCCCTGGAATACGATCCCCTGCCGCGAAGAATCGTTTTTTCATCCAAGTACACATTTTACTGTTGCGTTAAACAGAGGCTACAGTTAAGGAATTGCGCCCAGTAAATCCTCCCCGGCCAGGATACGAACCCATGACATAGCGCTCGCGGAACGCCAGGCGAGTGTCTTACCACTACACCACGGAGACTGAAATAACGTTCTGCTCTGAATGTGGCTGTGGGGACGAGTCCTTACTTCACCGGTTTTGTATAATTTTAATATTGTATTTGGTTAGGTTAGGTTAGGTTAGGTTAGGTTAGGTTAGGTTAGGTTAGGTTAGTCTTTGTAATATATTCACGTCCTTGTGCCTCTCCGACTTGCTTCCTTCCATCTTTGGTCGACCCGTGGGCTAATCCCAGGACTTTTTATTGTCGTTTCTGTAGTACGAGCTTGCCATCTGTTTCCCCCTACCTGGAGCATACCTGGGGAGGGTTTCGGGAGTTCTTCTACTCCCCGAGCCCGGCCTGAGGCTACCGGCTAGGCTACATTTCTGGGTAAGGATCGAAATACATCCTATCTTGTGCGATCGTCCAGTTGACTTGTGTCTCAAAGTATTCCTGATATTGTGACTTTCGCTCCGGTAAATGCCAGACCTCTGCTTCCTGAGCCTTACTCAGGAAGGCTTACTTACTTATTATTATGCTGCCTGGTTGATATCTGGTTGATGGGGTTCTGGGAGTTCTACTCCCCAAGCCCGGCCCGAGGCCAGGCTCGACTTGTGAGAGTTTGGTCCACCAGGCTGTTGCTTGGAGCGGCCCGCAGGCCCACATACCCACCACAGCCCGGTTGGTCCGGCACTCCTTGGAGGAATAAATCTAGTTTCCTCTTGAAAATGTCCACGGTTGTTCCGGCAATATTTCTTATGCTTGCTGGGAGGACGTTGAACAACCGCGGACCTCTGATGTTTATACAGTGTTCTCTGATTGTGCCTATGGCACCTCTGCTCTTCATTGGTTCTATTCTACATTTTCTTCCATGTCGTTCACTCCAGTACGTTGTTATTTTACTGTGTAGATTTGGTACTTGGCCCTCCAGTATCTTCCAGGTGTATATTATTTGATATCTCTCTCGTCTTCTTTCTAGTGAGTACATTTGGAGGGCTTTGAGACGATCCCAATAATTTAGGTGCTTTATTGCGTCTATGCGTGCCGTATATGTTCTCTGTATTCCCTCTATTTCAGCAATCTCTCCTGCTTTGAAGGGGGAAGTGAGTACTGAGCAGTACTCAAGACGGGACAACACAAGTGCCTTGAAGAGTACAACCATTGTGATGGGATCCCTGGATTTGAAAGTTCTCGTAATCCATCCTATCATTTTTCTGGCTGTCGCAATATTTGCTTGGTTATGCTCCTTAAACGTTAGGTCGTCAGACATTATTATTCCCAAATCCTTTACATGCTGTTTTCCTACTATGGGTACATTTGATTGTGTTTTGTACCCTGTATTATGTTTAAGGTCCTCATTTTTACCGTACCTGGAATTTATCACTGTTAAACATCATGTTATTTTCTGATGCCCAGTCGAAAACTTTATTAATATCAGCTTGAAGTTTTTCAATGTCCTCAGCCGAGGTAATTTTCATACTGATTTTTGTGTCATCTGCAAAGGATGATACGAAGCTGTGACTTGTATTTTTGTCTATATCTGATATGAGAATAAGGAAAAGCAGTGGTGCAAGGACTGTACCCTGAGGTACAGAGCTTTTCGCCTGTTGAATGCAGGAATACAGAGAACATATACGGCACACAGACACGATAAAACACCTAAATTATTGAGACCTAAGTTGAATGATTGCGTTAGCAAGTTCTCGAATTGAATGAGTGAGTGTGAGTTTTGTAAGGAAAGAACTCCCCCAGATCAGTGAGTGGAGAGAAGTGAAAGCGAGAAGCAGTGTGTGTGAGAGAGAGTGAGAGAACTCGCATCTTTCACTCTCTGGGTGCACGTAGGAGCACCACTCTGTGTTCACGCGGCGAGTGAGTGAAAGCTGGACATGATGTTGTTGGAACCTGAGGGAACGTGAAAGTGAGTGACAGAGAGTGAATGCAAGAGAAAGTGAATGGGATCGAGTCAGAAAAGTGAGAAGGGATAACGTTAGAGAGAGCGAGAAAAGGTGAGTGAAGGAGACATTATAATTATAGTGAGAGAATGAGTGCGAGAGAGAGTGAGAGAAATTGAGGCAGTAAGAGAGTAATGTGAGAGGCAGCAAGACACTAGAGGTGGGTAACGAGGGCAGCTGGGAGGGGGGGGGGAGGAGGTAGTAGAGGCAGCGTGACTCTGGTTTGTTCAGAGACACTAAGTCGTGTGGGAGGATGATGGCTACAGGCTTAGTGGCGGAGGGCTGCCATGGTGGGGGGGTGTGGGGGGTAAGGGGAGGGCTGCCATGGTGGGGGTTAGAGGAGGGCTGCCATGGTAGGATGTATGTGTTACAAGATGGACCCCTACACACCCTTTGTGAACACACATGGTAGCTCCCGAGGGCTGGGATGGTGGGGGTGGAGTATGGTGGTAGAGAGAGAGAGTGGGGGGTACTGTGGTAGTGAGTGTCGGGTGGAGAGAGAGAGAGAGAGAGGAAGGGGAGGGAGGGAGTGGTATTAACTGCTGGCGTGATGGTGGAAAACCACTTCCTGGCCCACAAGAGATCTAAACCAACTTAAATATCAGACACTCTCTCCTCTTCTGGGTTCACAACTGGACAAATGGAACCAGAATTCGGTGTTCGTATTCCCTCGTTTCTCGGCTGTAAGGTAAATGGGTT